TATATAAATATATTTAACATTTTTTCTTAAATATACGTGTGTGTGTGTGTGTGTGTGTAAAAATGTTTATGGGCAATTGTTTTCAAAAATAAAAAGTAATATCAGTAATATAAAAATGTCATGAGTTTAAAGCTTTTGAGAATGTCTTCTTCCATGATCCATGAAATGAAAATTTATTTAATGATATTTAATATAATAAATATTTTAATAAATACACATGTTTGGAATATGTTAATATTATATGTAATGTAATATATTAATATTAATATTAATATTTTACATGGTATGTATTTGAAAAAAGATTTGATTTACATATTTAAATTAAATATTTACATATTTTAAAAGAATTATTAACAAAATCATGAACGTCATGAGTTTGAAACTCCTATAAATACTAAACCCTTCCACTTAAACATCATTGTTTATCAGAGTGTTTGATCTCTCATCTGCCATATGTTTTGTTTTTGTTTTGTTCTCTAAAGACTAAAGTGTTCTGGATACATACATATTTCCGCACGCATATTCTCCTGAAAAGCTGCGTTGGCAGCACTGACAGGGTTCCTGCTGTTTTTCTGAGAACTAATTCTTTTGAAATCTGTGAATGTGAAAACTCACTCCAACAATCATTGTCACCGATGATGACGACAGAGACCCTGTGAAGGCTTGGAGAAAAATGCTGCCTGTACGCACAACAGAGCTTCTCCAGAAAAAGGGGGCGGTGCTCCTGTCTGGAAACTATGCGGTCTAGTGCTGATGTAGACCATAGACGAATTCTGAGGCAGACTTTTAGGTCAGGTGTGCTTGTGTGGACTTGTCTGATCTGAACGAGCACAAGTTGGCTACTCGAACGTGAAACAGAGACAGACTAAACAATCCCTGACCCTCCTGTAGAAATCCCTAGCCGTTTGTGGCAAAAGGCCTTTGTGTTTTGTTCCTAGCCTTGAGGTGAATAACTCACTCCTGCCTTCAGAATAAAAGGACGTAACTGGTCAGACCCGTCTAGGTAAAGAAAACGGCTGAAATGGAGAGATTATGTAATACAACCCACAGACATGTACACAGAACGACAAGGTTTCATCTGCGTAAACAGAGTGGAATAGAAATCCTATTAACCTTTACTTTTATACACGCTAATCATGAGGACAGGTGCTGTACACCCAAACATATGGACGCAAACCCAAACACATGTAAAAAGTTACAAACTTACCTCATCGACAGTGAGCGGCATGCATATCCGGTATTCTTTCATCAACATGGTTTGGCTTAAATGGGCTTTGTTTTATCCTTTTGTCTTTCTTTCCCTTTCTGTTTCTCTTAAGCGTCTGTTTCCTATTTTCAAACTGTGTCAGCATGAAACTGTCAAGCGGTTTCCGTAAAGCAATGTTGCACCCCTCTTCCTCTCTCACTTCACTGATGTCAGAGCTGGTCCTGTAAACTGCCAATGTGTAGCCGCCGTGTTTATTTTATTGTTCTCATAGTCTCTCTGTCTTGCCTTCTTTCCTGGCTCTCTGTATCACGAATGTACTCGCTTCCTTAGCATTCAGTTCTTCCGTTCTGTTTTTAGTTTATGGTTTAGTGTGATATTACAGAGGTAAGAGCAAAACGGAAGCTTCCTTTCTCTACTTCTCTCTTTCTGTGAGTGTGAAAGAAGAAAACAGACTGCAGTTTTCATGTGTAACCTTGCCATGTTCTTTGCCCCTCCCTCTTCCCTCCCCTCATCTCCGTTCTGTGTGCATTCTTTTCTTGTGTGCTTATCTTTATTCTTTCTCTCCTCTCTCACTCAGTCCACCCCTTCCCTCCTCCACCTGACTTTACTTTCCTCTGCTGATTTCCCGCACAATGCCAGCTCACTATCTTCTTCATCTCTTTTACTCACAGTCCTAGTTTCACTTTCTCTCTCTGCTTTTTGTCCTGCTCTCTTTATATACAGTATCAGTATAACTTCACTTTGGCCCAGATTAAACAAACTCTGTTTACAATACAAAATGCACTGACCTGTAGTCTGTAGAGTCCTTTCTGCCAGACAGAAAGTCTGTGTGCGTGTGAGAGGTTTACAATACTGTACAAGTCAATAAATTCTTTGAATCAATACTTTTATTCAGCAAGGATCCATTAAATTTATCAAAATTGACAGTGAAGACTTCCATATTGCTAGAAAAGATTTCTATTTCAAATAATGCTGTTCTTTTGAACTTTCTGTTCATCAAAGAGTCTTGAACAAAATGTTTCCACACAAATATTAAGCAGCCCAACTGTTTTCATCATTAATATTAATAAGAAATGTTTCTTTTTACGTTTCTGATGGATCGTGTGACACTAAGGACTGGATTAATGGCTGTTGAAAATTCAGCTTTAAAATCACAGGAATAAATTGCATCGTAAAATATTTTAAAGGGGTCATTAGATGCCCATTTTCCACAAGTTGATATGATTCTTTAGGGTCTTAATGAAAAGTCTATAACATACTTCGGTTAAAATTTCTCAGTGGTAGTGGAAAACAACACCCTTTTTACCCTGTCAAAATCAGCTCTGTTTTCAGCAAGCCGTTTTAGTCCATGTTCCTTTAAATGATAATGAGCTCTGCTGACCCCGCCCCTCTCTTCCATGGGGTTAAGAGCCGTTCTCATGATACTGTTTACTTTAGCTGCGGAACTTGCTAACTAGCACGTTATTAGGAAAGGCGATTTGCAAAGATTCATAAAAGAACCTTATACTCACTTCTTCTGTAGGTGAGGCTGGATCACGAATGATTCGCGCGAAGATAAATGTATTTAGGTAGATTGCGGGGCGCATTCCCTTCAAAAACAAAGCTAATCCACTGCGTCTTCAGCGGCTCAGATGTCGGGAGTAAATGACGACTGCTATGCCCATTATAACATCCAACAACAGAACACCTCAATCGCTTAGGAGTCATTCTTGTCTACATCTGCTCCAGCGTCGAAACAATGGTGGACTGATGACAGCTCACTCTGGGTGGGTCTAAGGTAAAGTGTCAATCAACAATCGTGGGAGGGCCTGGGTCTGTGTGACGTCACACAGACAGGCATCTGAGATTAGCTCGATTTGAGAAAGGGGAAATTATTTAACGAGATTAAAAAAAAACACTGGGTGGATCTTAATCATTATAGGGTGGTTGTGTACACACACTGCACACATTTCAGTTCAAACAAAACTTGTAAAAGTGCATGTCACATCCGAAGACCCCTTCAAAGTAGAAAGCGGTTATTTTAAATTGTAATAATATTTCACAATATTAGTGTTTTTACTGTATTTTTTGATCAAATAAATGCAGTCGTGTGAGCACAAGATACTTCTTTCAAAAACATTTAAAAAATCTTACCGATCCCAAACAGCTGATACTACAGTAAATGTTGTCTAAAAATGCAAAAGTTTGAATTAAATGACATAAAGTCATAAATGTCAGTGTGGTACAACTTTCTTGAAATTGTAATGACGAGAAAAGCCTTCTTGGAAAGTAATTTGGCATAATGATTTATATAACTGCTTCGCTGCTTATTATTTGAAATAGATTTGTCTGCAAAATCAAAGTCATGTGGTGCAACTGACGTACAAACATGCATGAAAAAAACAAAACTGGAAATAATACAGAGGATATGATTGTGTCAAGGTCAACAAGTCTGTCAAAGTATCAGATAATTAGATCTTTAACTGACAAGACATGGCTCATTTGTAAAGTGTCATGTGGTGTGACTCCTTAAAAACATACTTTAAAGGGATAGTTCACCCAAAAATGAAAATTCTGTCATTAATTACTCACCCTCATGTCGTTTCAAACCCGTAAGACCGTCGTTCATCTTCGGAACACAAATTAAGAGAAGAAAAAAAAAAGACTTTATTCAACAATTCGAGAATACTTTTTGTGTGCAAAAGAAAAAAAAAAAAAGACTTTATTCAACAATTTGTCTCCTCCGCATCACCCTGTAGCGCCATTTTGGAGAGTATCACATATGTAAACAACGTATGCTGTTCTGTGTCAGCTGCGTCACGCCGGATCTGTTTCCTATGTTGTTGTGATTTGATCTGAACGAAAACAGCGTATCCGTGTGACGCAGCTGACACATAACATCATAGCCTACGCTGTTTACGTCCAGCGGATACTCTCCAAAATGGCACCAGGGTGATGCGGAGGAGATGAATTGTTGAATAAAGTCTTTTTTTGTTCTTTTGCACACAAAAAGTATTCTCGTAGCTTTGTAAAATTACGGTTGAACCCCTGATGTCACATGGATTATTTTACAGATCTCCTTGCTAAGTTTCTGGACTTGGGAACATTTCAGTTGCAGGGTCAGACAGCTCTCAGATTCCATCAAACATATCTTAATTTGTGTTTTGAAGATGAACAAAGGTCTTACGGGTTTGAAACGACATGAGGGTGAGTAATTAATAACAATTTTCATTTTTGGGTGAACTAACCCTTTAAGATACTTTAAATACAATACTTTGTATTGAAAAATAAATGTAAAAACATTTTGTGTACATTCCCATATATTTATGATGTAAGGGAAAAAGTTGTATTACTTTTTACTTGATGCTTATTCCACATGACATTTAGACGCATTAAACTGAATTTTTTTCTTGAAAATGGTATAAAAGTTGGGTTCAGAGGTAGTGGATAGGGAATCAGAAATGTCATTAGCTCAGTACAAAAACAATCAAAGTCTATAGAAATTCTCCACTATGATGGAAAAACAAACCTGTGTATGAATTTGATCAGAGGTGGTTGCAGGGCACTCACGCACCCGCTTGGAGTCCATGGTGCTCATCTGATTAAAGATTACCTCAAGTACAGGAGAGAGGTAATTAAGCATTACAGGAGAAGAAATTCATCTCCCCCACCATACTCTCACTCAGCACATCCAGCCCCCATTTGCAATTTAAACGCCCCCAGCAAAGCATAATAGTTTTCTGCTCTGGTGATTTTGGTTTCACTGTGAACTGCCCTGTTTCCTTTTCTTAGCATAACTATGTTGTCTTCTCAAAGCACAATAGTTTTACACCTTCAATCCTCTAACAAAAGGAACCAGCTCAGCTTCTGAGCGAATGGTAATGTTTTTGGTTTCTGTTTCTGTTCTGTTCAATTGTTTTATCAGCTTAACCGGATCAGGCTAAACTAAACCCTGTCATCTTGTAGGCAGCGGCAGAGTCAATATGTCTTATTTTCGGAAGGGATATACTAGTTGCCTGTGCGCAGTAGCTGGTATTGGGGTAGAATGGAAACCATGAGAAAGAAAACTGAGGGGGAACGAGGGGGAACTGAACACAAACTAGCCTGCTGTGTTCTGAATGAATCTGTGAGAGCTGGTTGAACAACTGTGTCAGTAAAGTGTGCAGACACTTTTGATTTTTATTTATAATGTATTTTTTTACACCTGTGATGGCACTACAACGTCTCTACATCTGCTGCTCTCGATCCTGGGATTTTGTAAAGCAAAGGATTGATTAATAGTAGATACGAAGATCAGCGAGACACAGTCAGTCTGAACATATTGGTCTGTTTTCACTTTCTGTTTTTTGTTTTGTTTTACTGTAAAATACCATGATCGTAGTGAATGTATATGAGGAGGACCATATTTGTCTGCATTCTAGCACTGGATTGCCATTATAACACAAACCTGTTTGACAATTGTAAATTCTTTCTTAGTTGCACTTACACATCTGCGTGAATGCAAATGAATGTCCAGAACGGTCATTTCTTGACAATGCTCCCCTTTCCAATATATTGTGACCAAGCAGGTTTTTTTTGTAGGCCTACCTCACATAAGGCCAATCATAGTTTAGAATGGTGGCATCTAGACTGGCCAGGCATGTTTTTTTAGTAGCTACTAATCTTTTCTTCTGTATTTTGATGAAGATCTGAGTATAAAGGCTCGCAGTAAATGAAAACAATGCAGGGCGGGGACTTTGTTCTATGCGTCGGTTGTTGATTGGATTTTGAGATGTGGGCGTTGCGCTCAAAAATGGCAGATCAGCGTGAGTTTGCAGGGGCAGGGTTTGATTGGAAAGGTCCAACATATGTCACCAGAAAGAAGTCACTAAAAAGTTTTCACTGGAACATCCATCTATAATATTTTGTTTAAAAATTATGACGTCCAAAAAAAAATTGGTTACACTTTATTTTAACGTGTCCTTGTTACAGTGTAATTATACATTTAAGTACAGAGTAAAATTAATTAACTACATGTACTTACTATATGGTTAGGGTTAGGATTACGGTTTGGCTAAGTGTTACTTGCATGTAATTATGCATACCTTTTTGTTATTATAATAGTACTGTAATAAAAGTACATGTAACATGCTTAAAAAAAGGACACCTTATTGAAATTTAAATGAAATATATGCATGGAAAATCATTCACTTTAAGATTTATAACATGCGTTAGGAAAACAGGTGAATTTGAATTTCATGCAGACTTATTGATCTAGTTTGTCAATTGTCAAGTCTTAAAGGATTATTCTGGGATAAATTCAAGTTAAGCCCAATCAACTCATTCCTTGTTTTCCTAAAAAATAAGCAAAAATCAAGGTTAGGTTGAGGCACTAAAGGAAATGTTAAGCTTATAATTTTATAAAATGCATATACAGTAATTCTTCTGTTAAGTCTTTGAAGATGTTAAAACAGTTCATAACTTTACAGTAGTTTTAGGGTTTATGGCTTTACATTGTTGGACAACTTCACAGAAA